CTAAAACCCTATTAAGGATACAATGTCACGCTTTGGTTTGTGCTCCTTAATAGGGGAACCCCATTAAGGGGAGGTTTTTTGGTTCAAAATGTGTCCCCTTAACAGGAGTAATTATACTGTATATGAAAGTATTGTACATGTGTGTCTCGTAACAAACAGTATGATATTTGATACATACTTACTAAAGAATATAATTACCTAAAGCATCGTTTTATTTTTATTTACATGATTGTTGATTTCCATCATTTTTTGCCTTATATAATTCTGACATTGGTTGCTAGTATCTTTGTCATGTTCGGATTTCATACTGCCCACTAATTTAGCAGGCACTAAAACTCTTTTTTTTTTTTAAAACGAAATTTCCTTACCTCAGCTCCACCATGGTTGGGACTGAGGTAAGAAAATTTATGATTATGGCACCTCAAAGTGGCTGGATGGCACTCTCAGACAAACGTTAATTATGATTTTTCTTTTTACTCCATTTCTTTTATAATCTTAGGGGGCTCTGCCCCCTTGAATCCACCACTGTGAAATTATAATTTTTCATGTCCTTTACATCTGCAGGCCTACAATCACTGAAGCTGATAATTTCCAACAGATTTTGCAGCACATTATTAAAAATCAACGGGTAGAAGAGGGGGCAAAAAATGTAATGCATACTATAGCATTTCGCGATAATTAGGAACGATTTTTAAGTGAAATAATAATAATAATAATAATAAATGGATTTATATAGCGCAAATAAACGAGGTCTCTATGCGCTAGACAATATTGAAGACAAGAACACAAAGAAAAAAGCCGGAAAAAAAAAACATTAAAAAAAAACAATAAACACCAAGCTAGCACCCAAACTGAAGTATGGGGGTTACAACATCACCGCCAACCGGAGATCTGTGTTTATGTACTCCGGTTAGCATCGGTTAAGTCTTGATCTTTTCTGGGATAATAATAATAGGTTTTAAAAAGTGGACTTTTTTGGAATCTGGTGGTCCATGGGCAGAGGCCTGGAGGGGGTTTGTGGGAAAAGCGACAAAGTAGCATTTTAAGGGTCTTGCATAAGCCTAATAAATTTCTCAAACACATAATTCATGAATATTTCATTTGAATTTTCATTAATTTGGGTGTTTTTGGGACCTGAAAATGTAACGTTATTATGTCCCGTACATCTGCAAGCCTATAGATAACATTCTTCATATTATATAGATCAATCTGCAATCAACGGAGACGATCAATTTCTAACAAATTTCATACACATAGTATTAAAAATCAACGATTAGATAAGCTGCATGCTATAGCATTTTGTGATAATTAGGAACGATTTTGTGAAATCATAGTTTTTCAAAAGTAGACCTTTTCGAATGGGGGGGGGGTGCGTCCACACCCCCCTGCCTACGGGCCTGATTTCTGTGTAGATTTTGCCGCAAATTAGCCTTTCTTTGACCAGGTAGCTCAGACATGAAGAGACCCTTGGGGGAGAAGCAAGTTACTGTACAAGCAGTCCACACCTCAAGTGCTTTGAGACTTCTGTATAAAGCAAGTATGTAAATCAAACTACAGCTATAACATTACATCTGAATATACAAATGCTAAGTTACGCTTTTGCACACCTATTTTCATAGCAATTTTCCGTGAAATTTCAGCTAGTTTTTAAGTTGATGTATCATCTGCCCAATTACGGTAATATACTTTACAGAATATGGCATAGTTGAGGGGCCTGTCTATGCGTACTTTCATTTTATATTATATGTTATTCATTCACACAAGATTGGAACGGATTTCATTCATTCATACATTTCGTTGTTATATAGACGAATTCGGTTTCGTGGCTTTTTATACTCGCCGCCGGGGGGGGGGGGCTTCTACATGGCAGCTGGAGAAAGTGGTTGAGTGAGCGAGTAATAGCAGTGCAGCGGCCCGTATCAGAAGCGCGCGTTACGTGTGAAGGACGTCTTCGATTTGCTGGGTTCTTTTGTGTGTTCACTCGTGTTTCGTAACTGCAGTGAACATTTCTGTGATTCTTTCGTTTGAAAACCAGCTTTTATTTGTATTGATCCACTATGAAAAAAAATGAAGCGACGTGTAAATTTCCCGCACGAATATAAATCAAAATTGGTACTGGGCAGTGTGATTGCCCAAGTGGAGTCTTAAAAATCCCAAGATTTCTTTAAAAATCCCAAGATTCACAAAATATTAGTATATAACTTCATTAGTCCAATTTAAAGCTTTTCCAATGAATATTATTATACTAATCTGTAAGTTGCACTGTATAATGGAACAGTCTGGATTTTCGAGACCAATAACTCGCTCATTTTGCTTCAAATGTAGAATTTTCACAAGTTTAGGGGGTGGTGGTTGGGGTTGTGGGGAATGTCTTATATGCATTAAAATCATATACCGTACATTAAAAATAAAAGGCAATTGTCTTTATTTTATTTGTATTACACAGAAAATATTCAAGTAGCATCTCATACTTAAATTAAAAAAGGCGTTTATTTTTAATTTTATTCAGGAGGTGTAAGCTAGTAAGAGACTATTGTTGGTGAATTTTATTGAACTTATAATTGTCAAATTCAAACACAATGAAAAGCATTTGCAAGATATGGGATGGTGCGAAATTTCATGTAATGTACAATAGGTGCAATATTATTGCTCAACTTTATATATCTCAAACTGAAGCAAACAGCATATCCGCCAATGGGACATAGCAAGAGATTTAACTTTAAAAATATGCACCTTATTATTTTTGAAAAATGATGCAAATGGCTTTAATACAACAGCCTTATCAAAAGAATTGAAAAACTACTATCTAAGCTTTCGATGGATCTTTTATTTTGAACAAATAAACAGCTCTCCTCATTCGCAATTGTAAACTATGTTGTTATAAGGTAATTCACAGCCTATTTGTCCACTTATAGAAAAAATATTTAAAAATCCCTATCATTCTAAAAATCCCAAGATTTAATGAAAAGTTAACGAAAAATCCCAAGGTGTCTTTAAAAATCCCAAGATCTTGGGATAATCCCAAGCATGGTCACAGTATATATACTGTACAGTATACTATTATGTCCACATTTAAGTTAGTCATTTATTAATTAAAATAATATATTTATATAAATCATTAAAAGTAATGTTAAAATAAATACTACTTCTAGGCTTAGTCTATATTTCAAATATTCTTATATTTAGGCTAGCCCAAATATTATTATTATTATTATTATTATTATACATATATATATATATATATATATATAATTATATATATTATTATTATTATTATTATTATCAGATTATTAACATTATTATTAAGAATAACCAGGCACAAATTCACAAGCCAAACAAGGATCTCCGTCCTTGTTGACAAGTCTCTGTGGTATTGTAAATTCAATATCAATATCAATAAATAAATATGTGTATATATATAAATAAATATGTGAAAAATGAGCCATTATCATTGTTATATAATTGTTGTCTCTTTCCTCTTCTTCCTTCCTGAATCTTTTATAATATAAAACTAACATATTTTAATTTTACTTTATTTTAATATGTTTTACGGCTTCTGTCTAGGCCCTACACTATATAAATTTTTCCTACATTAAATTAAATATGATTGCAATACAAACAATTATATTATACTACACACTATATCAAATTTACATACATATAATATAATATTACTGTATTTGAAACATAGACTAAGCCTAAAAGTAGTATATCTTATTTAAACATTACTTTAAATAGTCTTTATAAATATATTAAGCTCCCTGACAAGGCGTCCACCAATCCCCTATTGAGGAAGCTAGTACCCCCCACCCTACCACCCGATTCAAAATTTAATTTGTCGGAGAAATAAAAAATAATAAAATTTTTTGTTAATCATAGGGTTTATTACTTAAAAAGGAAAATTTGATAGAAAACCATGCAAGTTAAGCGTATACAACACCTCACACATATAGCATGTCTTGCATTATACAGTTTTTAATCCCTAAAATTTTACAGCTTAGTAATGCATGCTTGAATTGTTTCAATGCTCAAGATTCGATTTTTCCCTAATGAATTTGCTGTAAATATCCCGACAGAGGGGTCCAATGGTCCCTGACGGGAGGTCCTTTTCACCCTGGAGCCCGCTAGCGCCGCCCCTGATTTAACCATGAACACAGTATTCTCTACAATAATAATAAGATTAACAAATTTCAATCTCATAATCATATTAATAAAGCTGGTGTTTTGTATTGACCTAGCCTACTATGGCTAACGACAGTACGCTCTCACCATGAAGGCTTCTTCTATGAATGGAATGACTTGTACGAAGCACAATCTCCTGTAGACCAAACCCAGTACTGTTTTTTTTATTTTTAATCGTGTGGGAAATTTACCATAACACATTTAGCAGCAATATGGCGAAAAAGAAAGCTAACCCAGAAGCCCCCAATTATAAGGGCAAATAGAAAAATTTTATTAGATTATCACTCCCGCCCGCATAAAATATTTGGGAAATATTGATGCGGGAATAAAAAAAATTATTATTTTTTTGCCGCATCAATTATTTCAACAGCATAACAATAACAATGCAATTTTGTGACTTCAAATACATTTTCTTTAAAAAACTATAAAATTAAACCAGTTTTTATACAATATTTAGCATTACAGACCAAATGTAAACAGTCCCTCCCTCATCGATAAAAACAAAAGCAAAATAATCTATTGTTCTGATTTTAAAAAAAAACAAAAACAAAAAAACTGCCCTCCCTCATCAATTTTTTTTTAAAAAAGAGTGTTAATGTAATAATTTTTTCTATGTGCCCTAATGGCAATACTATGTAAACAAAATGTTATTCACGTTGACCACGGATGCACGGAGCAACATTTAGCCTAAGAGCCCTGGGGCATAGGGAAGTGCCTAGGAGCATGCATGAAAAAGGGGAGTCTCTGCTCCTGAAAGATAGATTTTACTGCCCATTTTCAAGTATAACATAAAAATACCAGCTAACTTGACTACTCACCAGAGATGAAATGACGTAGTAAATATTCTGCACACTTATTTAAATCCAAACTGCGATTTTAAACGTTACAGACTTAAAGTTAGTAAAATGCATTTCCGCTATATCTTAGTTTCCGTAGGCCTAGTAAACGAACCATTCCGTAGCACCTGATGATTTATGGGGCACTTTTCTTGGGTTTTACAATAATGCATCAGTAATCTGACAACAGGTCTGAAGTCTAGGGTCCATAGAGACGATATAGCCAATAGTCCTGATGAAAAAATCATTGTCCTTTGTCCTGTACTTTCAACAATGGTAAATCTCTATATATTTCTGGGTCTGAGTAAAGATAAATTTCCTTAGTGTCTTTGTTTATTTCCGTAAAACGTTCATAATTAGGCAAAATTCCGTAGCAACTACAGACGTTTCGTAGAACTTGAGAAGTCTGAAGTACTTCGAATTCCTGACTCCAGGTGTTCTAACACACGTGTTCTTTATTATAATATCTTTGCTGAAAATTAACATGCTCGTTGGTGGCGCTGTCCAGAATGAGAAAAAAAAAATAATAATAATAAGGGACATGTGGCAAGTCTATGGGGCTATGTTTAAAACGTAAAGTGTCAAAACGGGGGAAAGGTAAGGTATGTGTTTCTGGGCCTTGGAGGATAACAATGTTTTTTTTACTCAGGGTAAAGAACAAATAAATAAAATAAAATAACGAAAATTAAAGACCAGTAAAGCCGACTATGTACTTCAATGGCGTACACAATTTTAAAATCTAAAAGAGATAGACTAGAAATATGTAGTAAATGACAAAATTAAGTCTTATTTTAAATCTACATGGCTTTTAAAATAAAATAACGAAAATTAAAGACCAGTAAAGCCGCCTATGTACTTCAATGGCGTACACAATTTTAAAATCTAAAAGAGATAGACTAGAAATATGTAGTAAATGACATAATTAAATCTTATTTTAAATCTACATGGCTTTTAATAAAATGACAATCGAGTGTTACTCAACTCTAGAAACAAAGGAAGAATGGTCCCAATTTGGGATTGGCTCAGGAAAAAGTTATGTGATTTCCAAAAAGCCCTGATCCAAGACACATGATGACCATATATTATTGGAATATACAACAGCGTTCTGTAAAAAAAAATTCAATCTGGACACAGAACTTAACTGCGTTTGGTGCCAGGGCGTAAGGTGGTTCCTATGGGTTGGGGTGGGGGGGTGGAGGGGTGAGAAAATTGTAAATGCGGGATCAGTGACGTAATGAAGGGGGACTTCCATATTTCTGTTGAATTTAATATAGGCCTATATTTTTTATATATATGCGCTGTGTCCTGGTTCCCAATCCTTTTATGTTTACTAGGATGGGCTTATATTCATAAGATTTGTACGAATGGATACCTTTGTTTGAAGCAATAATTTCAACGATCTGCGATCTACTCTTTTTTCCCTAGTGTTTAAATATTCAAAAATCTATAGACGAATCCAAGAGAACTTTTTTGAACGTTGCCCTCTTTTGTCGACATCATTACTCCCCAGGGCAAAGAGTATTCGATACCCT